GTCTCGCCGCTTGAATTTGGTGGCATCACGGCGAAGGTCACAAATGCTCTGAGTAAGTCAAAGCCGTCAGAAACAAGGCGATTGAACAACCTTTGACCGCCATGCTAACAATGTTCAGCTGGCCGAGGATTCAAGCTTGCCCGCGTCATCTCCGGCACTTACATGACGAGTTTGAACGGACCCGGCTTCAGCATTACTCTGCTCAAGGCCAACCCCGAGATTCTGAAGCACATCGACGCCAGCACGAATGCCATTGGCTGGGCCTACTCCCCACGCGATGAGACCAGCGGAGATGTGAAGCAGCGCCTTGTTGAGAGCAGCGACTCAGGACATGGTTCCCAGGACACCACCAAGAGCGGCGTGCAACGTAAGTTTCAGTACTTCTTAAGATAGCACTTGAAGAACCTCAGTTGCTGACCAGAGCTGCTTCAACCATTCAGTCAACGTAGAAACCTTCAAAAAGGTCGTCTCCGAGGCCGCGAAGAGAATCAACGCCGCCGAACCCCAAATCACAGCCCACGACACCCAAGTAGGCGACGGCGACTGCGGCGTGACCCTCGCCCGCGGCGCCAAAGCCGTCCAAAAGTACGCCGACTCATCCTCCGTCAGCGACGACGCCGTCCGCACGGCCATCGACCTCACCAACGTGATCGAAGACAACATGGACGGCACCTCGGGCGCCATCTACAGCATCTTCTTCGCGGCGCTGGCCTCGGAGCTGCGCAAGGCTAGCGCGGGCGTGCTCGACTTACAAGCGTGGACCAAAGTTGCCGTCGGGGCCCTGGAGACGCTGCAGCAGGCTACACCGGCTAGGCAAGGGGACAGAACGCTGATCGATGCACTGGAGCCATTTGTGAGGACGTTGGAGAGCTCGAGGAGCGTGAGTGATGCGGTTGAGGCTGCGAGGAAGGGTGTCGAGGCTACTAAGGGTATGGCAGCTTCTCTTGGTCGGGCGGTGTACGTTGAGGAGTCTGCTTGGGGCAAGGTGCCGGACCCGGGTGCTGAGGGTGTCTTGGCTATTCTCGAGGGTCTTCAAGCAGCTCTTTCGTAGATTGCGCTGTTGCTTGTAGGTAGCAGTACCTTGTTTAAAGGTACTTCATGAAGAGACAATGCATAGTTGTGGGACTTTGAACTAATTTCATCAGGTTAAACTACAAAGTACTATGGCAGTGGGAGAAGCAAGTGTGAACTCCGTGCATCCCTGGACGCCGCAGGTATTGCAAGATGCAATAAAAATAGCTGATATATTGACCCGGATCCAAACGTGAGCACATTGGCAGCAATAGTCGTTAGAATCGTAGAGAGTCATCATTGAGTAAAGCTTCAAGTCCCCCAAATCCAGAAGTGACCTAACACAAATATCAATACGCTGACAAGGGGAGTTTGCCTCGAGGCATGGGGATATTACATACCATGGAGTCAAATTGACCCCAACTCGTCATATCAGCCAGAGAGCTGCTCGGGCTCGCATCAAACCCAACAAACTCGTCTGCGTGTCCCACATCAGGGAAGTTGAGATTGGCCAGGTGATGCTGCTCATGCTGCGGCTGGACATCTTCGTTTCCAGAAGCAACGATAGCGGCGCGGGAGATCTGTCCGCCATTTTGTCCCGTCTGATGGGTTATGGCCGGGCTCTGGTGTCGCTCGGTCTGTCGAAGCGCTTCGGTCCTCAGCTCCTCGAGGACGAGGCAGTATCGCGCCGCTAGCGTCGACTCGTTGTCGGCGAGCGAGGCTAGTTGCGTCTGACAGCGACATGCCGCGTTGAAGTAGGCCTGCCATGCCTCTGTCGGGGCTGTCCGTTGCTGGATGGTATATACATAGAGAACAACGACGGCTGAGAAGGCGAAGTAGGAAGTGAACTGCAAGTGGCTTGGAGTTAGCAGGGGGGTTTCGATGAAGACTGTTGATCAGGCCTTACCCAGAAAGCACGGAATAGCTGTCCTGCCTGTATAAGATCGTTGACGGTGTCGACAACGTGCATCGCAGCGTCGAGACAGGCGTTGACGCTTTCTTCCGTCTGGTCCTTGTGTGGCACACTCTTCCGACGGCCTTTACCGTTTCGTTGTAGCCGGGCAAAGTTACTCAGCAAAAAGGGCCTATGTGTGAGGATCATAGCATGCCAGTACGCCAGGTTTAACACGTTGCGTTGCCGCTGGAAGATGGGAATGAGTAATGCCGTGTTGACGCCATCATCCAAGAACTGCGACATTTCGGCCCTCCAGTGCTTCAGATTTTGAGAGTATTTCGCCGCCAGAGCACATCTATTTGAGAACGACGACGGTCTTATAGAGTAGAGGTCACGCAAGATCATGCTCACTATCCGTGAGAGCCTGGACTGAAGTCAGTACTATGCACGAGAGAGGGAATGAGAGGTATAACTTACTTGACATGAGCAACCGGGGCCAGCATGAGAGACTGGCCACGTCCCATACGGGGTGTGATGTGATCTGCATGGAGATCCGCGTCTTCTGAACACGACGGGAGTTCCTGATCAATGTCCTCATCATGGAACGTTCGTGGACGTCCAAGTGCAGCGCTGAGATAGTTGTCGAGACTGTAAGCGCACCAGAACGTGCGACGGCGACACTCCAGCTCAATGTAGTTGTATCCCCCGGCCGGGTCCGCATGCCTGTTGCGGTTCAGACCGATGGCGAGAGCAAGGTGTCCTGCGGTGCCGAACAAGCTCCAGCAGTGGTTAATGCGAGATTGTGACAGCAGCCAGAAGCACTGGCATAGCCGGGCCTGGACACTGGTCAGGCGGACGGCGCCTCTCTCTTTGGAGAGCTGATGATCTGCAGCCAAGAAGTATCGAGCGCTGGTCCTCATGTGTTAGTCCTTGCGGAGACGAATATTGGCATGCGACAATGACGGTGTAAAATAACATGGGACGGAAGATGTATCCTCCGCGAAGTTGTTGAAACTTACCTGGCGTCTGCGTTCTCACGCGAGTGTGTGATGCCCATGTACTCCTGCGCCTGAGCAAACACCATAAATAGCAGGGCTCTCCGGGCCGGTGCGTCCTCCTGGCTCTTCATGGCACCCATGGTATCGTAGAACTCCTCCAGCCAGCCTTCTACCGTGGGGCGGTGCAAGAAGCGGTGAGTTGGTACAGCGAACTCAAAGTATCTCTTCAAGAGGGTCGTGGCCTCTTCCTTGGACAGCAGGACGCAGAAGGCGCCGCTGGGGTCAAAGTCTGGGAGCGGTGCATCGCCAAAGGTGAAGATGGAGGAGGCTTGTGAGAATGAGACGGCTTGGTGAAGGCGTTTCTGGACTCTCAACAGGAAAGAGACACCAGACGAGGGACCGACATAGTGGCCTTGGAGATCCGTCTGAGTAGGTTCAGGAGAGGCCCGAGAGGGAGGCTCAGCGGTTCCGGGACCGACACTGCCAACAACGGCCAGACTCGTGCCGTTCATGATGGTCTCGTCTTGATGATCAGTATCACCGGGGTCAGAGACGTCTACGACGATGGAGGAGCCCATCAACGCATCTTCACCAGCAACAGCGGCAGCAGCAGCGTTGGGATGGTCCGACACGGAGACATCGAGGCCATCGAGGTCCATTCGGGCGACATCCTCCCGAGTAGCCACGGGCGGCTGACGACCCCGTGCATAAGACGCGTTGTAGGTGCAGTGGGACTCGGTGCGGATGCACAACTCGCAGGGCTGGATGCCCGTGCAGCGGATCTTGCGCTTCTTGCACCTGTCGCAGGCGCGGGTGACGCGGACGCGCTCCTTGTCGCGGTGCCGACGACGTCTTCCGCTCTCCGTCAGAGGGGTCGGATTCGACGGATGTGTGAGCGGCGGAGATGCCAGCTGCTGGTTGTGATTTCCATTGCCGTTGCCGTTGCCGTTGCTGTTCTCATTGTGAACATGAATGCTGCTGCTGCTGGTGCTGCCGTGGCGGCCGTTCCCGGTTCCATTGCCGCTCGACGATGCGTTTCCATTGCCGTTGCCGTGCTTGCTTCCATTGCCGTGACTATGATTACCAAGACTTCCTCCTCCTCTCCCATTATGGTGTGATTGGGAATGGCGGCGAACACCGGGGTGGTGGATTCCATTCACCATGGCATTGCCGTTGCCGTTGCTACCGGTGCCGATGCCGACACCGGAGTCGCCTTGGTCGGTGTCCAGGTCCATTTGCCGTGTCCCTGAGAGGGAGGCTTACTCCGTAGTGCGGCAGCAATTTGGCGGCAGACTCCCCTGATCCTGCTGCTGGAGCTGGACACACGGAAACATGGTCGAGTGAGTGGGAAGGGAAGGGGGAAGAGAGGGGGACCACAGGCGGCGGACGTGGAAAGACGGAAATGTCACCTCATTCTTAATCCTTTTGGGAATGGGGAAGACAATGCGGGGTACCCGGCCGGTCCCCGTCTTCCTAGTCTGCCTCCTAATTCCTTTGTGGCCCCCTAGGCCTGATCTCGCCTTGCTGGTCCGGTCTGGATTAGGATCCTTGTGGGTGATGGATGGTTCCTTGCGGGGGAGGCTCCCCTGGTACCCCCGAGTCGAATCATCTAGACTGGCATACAGAGTTGAATGGTTGGGGCGGTGGTCGTTGGGGCTCCCAACTTACATGGCATATGCTAGCAGGGCTAGGGGGTCTTGACTCTTGAGACTGGATGAGAGTAACACGAGATGACGATTGACCAATTCGAATTAGAGGACTCTCTAAACGATGATGTGCTGACAACTCGCCAAGCTTTCGAAATTCAGAGAGACGAAGAATTATGTTCCAGAGACGACAGACCATTAATTTTGAAAATGTCAGGGATCTGCAAACGCGCCAACCAGCCGCAAAGTCCGAGCAAAGCCAAGCGAACCAGCAACATCCCATCATCGGGGATGGCCAGAAATGGAACATTGACACATTGATTACACTCCCGAACACCAAGGTACACCGAGGTGAAGAAGACTAGAACAACAAAGCAACTCTATTATTCTCACAAAACGTGGCCAAAACTCTAAGTAGCATGACCATCCCAAGACTATGTGACACTGGGATCAGAAGATGGCAACGGCGTTGGGAGGGCTAGCAACACCGCCCGGAACCTATAGGTGGAAACAAATCATCAGTACGCTTTTTCAAGGCGAACATGCCCTCCAACATGAGTAATGCAGAAGAACGAACTGGAGAAGAACCAATGTTCAAGACTTACCTTGAGCGGCACGCTGCTCACAAAAAAGGTCCATCTTCCCAGCTCCTGACACGTCGAACTCAGAGCTTCGAGATCAAACATCTCCCCAATGGGCAATCCCCAACCTCCCAGCAGCCATTGATGCAACAAACCACCGCCCTGCATCTCCTCCTCCCACGCCTCGCCCTTCCACACGCCGCCGACAGCCGTATGCGGACCCGCGATGGGCGCCCTCTCGAAACTCGGCGCGTCGCCCGCCACGGCCGCGAATCCCGTCTCCCATATCCAGCGGAGCACGTCTTTCGTGGGCTCGAGACCGAGAAAGTCCGGGCTGGCGCGCGCCGCGACGGCCTTTTGCGCGGCGTCGTCTTTGGCGTTGTAGCCTGCCGTGAACCCGGAGCGGATGAAGAGGATGTCGCCCGGCCGGAAGGTGATGTTTTGCTCGGCGGCGATCTGTTGTAGATGGGCGAGGGAGATGTCGCTGCTGGTGAAGGCATCGAGGGGCAGGGAGTGGCGGGCGCAGAAGCTGGCGTAGTCGAGGAGGACGCCGCGGCCGACGATGCCGCCCTTTTCGACCCAAGCTGCGCTATAAGTCAGTCACCAAATAAGGATGAACGCACAGTTTCGAAGGTCAACTTGCCGTCTATGCCAATGTTTTTTGGGTTATCCAGGTCATCTTGGGTCGTGTTGTTGTAGTATCGCTTGGCTTTCTGGTACCCTTAGGTCATGACAGTTAGTGATATGGATCACTTATTAGCAGCCTTCAGTTGAGTACCATAGTGCCTGAAGCCGTCCCACTGGCTGCTACATTGCGTGTTAAAGTGCAAGATATCATCATTGACGGTCCTCTTCTCGCCACTCGGATGAGCTCGGTTGACGAGTCTAGACTCAAATGGCGCCCGATCGAAGCTTGGCTGAGAGGGATTATTCAATGACCAATCCAGTGATACTCGTTGGCCAGTTCGAATCTCAGATGCTGCCGCAGCGGCCACGACTGTGGGGGTGAGAAGGTTCAGCGCCCCTAAGCGGTCATCTTTGCCGTACAGACCCCATGCGTTCCCAGGCGGCCCAGCAGGGTCTAGGGGGAGAGATGAAAACGGTGGTCTTGCGGGAGTCGCAGAAGATGACATGATGAATACAGTGTGAATGCCAGGGCGTTGTAGTTGATGCTGCGATGAGTCTTGGTGAGCGCAATGAGAATTGAGTGAGGTGTGGTGAAGGTGAAGCCGCGCAGACTTTAGCATTTAGCTGTCGGCGCCAAATGCACCGGCGTCGGCAGCGGTTTACTACGTCCGAATTAAAACCGCGTCTTTGTGGGGATCATTATCCGTTATTAGTGAGTCCACGATATTACTCTTCAGCACGCGATGCATCTCACTCTAGCTACAAGCGAGTTGAGCAAGCTATCATGCGAATGGCTTGAGACGCTGATGCTTGCTTTACGTAGTTTAAGGAACTTTGGCCACTGCAATATCTGTGATTATTACGCTATAGAGTGTGGCAATGCTACGATTTCTAGACTAACATGAACCCCAGCTTCAGTGATCTAAATTGCACCCAGACCGCACACTCACAGCGCAAATCTTATGGCAGAACGTCTCTGAGTCAGCAGACCTGACACTTGATCAGTAAATATACCGAAAGTTCAAGTTCTCACGATCCGTCAAATCCCCAAACGCCGTCGCATCCAGATCAACCTCAGCGACTTCCCCCTGCATTCTGTCCCGCCTATCATTTTCCCACTTGAGCAGAAACCGCAGTGTAATCACAACCACAACCTCAAGCAAGTGAGCGACAATCATACTCCAAATACCCAACTCATACTTAGGCGCCTGATCTGACTTGTAGAAGAAGGGACCCGCGATGTTGCCGACGCAGTATCCCAAAAACAGGCACGCGGAGGTGACCACCTTTTTGGTATGTCCAGCAATGTTGGCGGTTTGGAGTGAGAGGAGAAGTACGAATGAGGCGTTGACAGAACCGGTTAACTTTGGTTGAGGCTTGTTAGCATGGTGCATGTCGGGAGGTTCACTTGCGGGAGAACTCACGTAGTAGCAGATTAGCCTGCCGACCTGCTGGTCATCAGGGACAAAGCGGAGACCAAGTGCCCCAGCGACGTTGGGTAATAAGAAGAGCACCAGCACGAAGCAGCGGTTATTTGGCGGCAGCCTGTCGTTGATGAAGACGCATGCTAGGATTGCGATGAAGATGATGGCTCCGTATGGAATCTGAAGGACCGCCGTAATCACTTGACAACGGCATGTTAGAAGTTCGTCATAACTGAGCGGTGAGGAGGTTTTGACTTACACGTCGAAAACTTGAAGCCCTTGATAATCAGAGTTCCAAAATTAGACGTCCCCCCATTCACAATCGCCTGCAACAAGGCAATCATGAAGAAAAAGTACAGCTTGTAGTCCGTGAACGCCTCGCGCACCTGATAGAGCTTCAGCGTTTTATTCTCCACGCCAGTCTGATTCTCGCGTAACCGCTCGACGATGATCTTCTTCTCGCGGTTTGTAAGCTTGCTGCTCGTGATGGGGTTATCCGGCAGGAACACGGCAATGACGATGCCCCACGCGCAGCACAGGGTGCCGACGATGATGAACTCATACTTCCAGGACGCCAGCGCGCCTTTGATGTTGCCGATGCCGTAGCCTAGGAGGCCGCCAAGGGCGATGCCGACGCCGTTGGCGGTGTACCAGAGCCCGATTTTGATGGGTTGCTCTCGGCGGGTGTACCACATGCTGAGATCCGTTAGCGTCATTCGACGCGGAAGATAATCTAAATTGACAAAAGGCTGGGGCCTGCAGACCTGGTGATGATCATAAAGGCAGGGTCAGCGCACGCTTCTGCTGCTCCGCTGATGGCACGAAGTGCGGCTAAAGCTCCAAAGTTGGGTGCCGCAGCTTGGAGCATAAGAAAAGTACCCCAAGCAAAGATGTTGAGGCCGAGATACTTTGCAATAGGGAACTTCTGCAGCATGAAGTTTGTAGGCAGAGCCCAGATCAGAAACCCAAAGTAAAAGATTGATGATAGCCAGCTATACTCGGTGCCCTTGAGGTTGAGATCACTCTGAATACCAAAGATGGCAGCGTACGAGAGGGTGGTTTTGTCAATCTGCCCAGGTTAGACATGGATCTTGGTTACCATAAACAAGCCTTTTGGGGGCGGTGCTTGGCAGTAGGACTAGGCACTTTGACTTACGTAGAAGAAGACGTAGCAGACTGAAATATATGGAAGAATCATCCAGTCTACCTTGCGGACTAGTCGTCGCTCCTCCTCCGGATCGATGGATTCGTGCACATCGCCCATGTTATCGAAGAGTGCCAAGGCAACATCCCCACCAGTCTTGGGAAGCTTGAATTCATGAGGGTCGCCTTCTTCCATGGTCTCAAATTGGGACGCACTCGGCTTGAGCTCGTCGATGCCGTGCCCTATAGTCTGAGGCCCGGAAGGCTGCATATCGGCACGTTCGGAGGAAAGGTTGGTAGACATTGCAAACCGGTCAACGTATCGATACCAAAGGGCTGGGGTAAGAGGCTGACATCGTCAAGTTAAGATTTCAAGGTGGTCATCATATTTCCATATATACAAGCGTAGATAGGTCGACGCATTCTCCCAACAGACTACACCTCATCTACAGAGGCCTAGTCCGCAAGCAGACAACCACTCGCACCAGACTTCTCACATCTCGGATAGACGGCGTCAGAGAAGGCGTGGGGAGACGTGGAGGGACGGCGTTGGAAAGGAGGATCATGGGGAATAGACCGGCCACTGCACTGGGTTCATCGGCATCAAGGTCCACTAGGCGCAACGCTACCATGAGACAGAAACGGGCACGCGAAACAAGCAGCGTGCTTTTCCGTGGCACCAAAATAGTGCCTGACGGCTAAGCCAAGCTCTCAATATTTGGTATCATGGCCAATCATGTAATTCGTAAGCTCCCAGCTACAACTCATCTAAACTACTAGTGTATCTCACAAAGAGTCCTCAATCTTTTGAATATCCGAAAACAAGAGCGAATCCAACGCCTTGAAAGTACCCTCATCCAAGCGTCCCTTGAGCGGCAACCGCCCGCCCTCGAGTGCGCCGAAGCCGGCCTTGCGGATGATACCCTCGCGGATACCAATGATGCCCGTCTTGCCGATAAAGTCCTCGGCGCGGCTAACGGCGTACTGCAGGCGCTGCACCTCCTCGAGGGTGGCCTGGTCGACAGGGCGCTTCTCCGCCAGGCTGAAGAGGCGCGAGACCGTCTTGGGGTAGAAGGCGGCGAGGCCGTCGATGACGCCCGCGGCGCCGAAGAGGACGATGGGCGCGAGCTGTTGGCCGAAGCCGCTGTAGACGCGGAACTTTGAGTGGTCGATGCGCGGGTCGGAGGAGACTTGGAGGTGGAGGGAGACGTTTCCATGGGACCTGGGGATTTGGGGGATCGCGTTAGAAGGGCTCTTGAGGTAGAGGCGGAGTAAATCTTTGTGCATTAACTTACATCTTGCAACCGACGATCTTGGGGTGTTGGGCAAGGTCCTTGTACGTGTCGGGCTCGACGAGGACGTTGTTTGTGACGCCGGGGTAGTTGTATCTAGGCCGCATCAGCACGAATATCATCTCGCGCGCGCACACCGCAATTGACAATGCAAAGCTCACACAAGGATAGGCAGAGGGCTCTTGTCAGCGACGACAGTGTACCACTCTTTGATGTTCTCCTGGTTCGCGGCGGTACCAAAGTACCCGGGAACGAGCACCAGACCCCATTGAGCGCCGGCCTTTGCGTAGTCGTCGAGCCACTCGAGAGTCTCGTCGATGCCGTTGGTCAAGACGCCGGCCATGATAGGGTAGTCGGGGAAACCGGCCTCCTCGAGGCCCTTCTTGACGCCGGCGACGAGATCGTGACGCTCGGCCTTGTTCAGGTGGATGGCCTCGCCGGTCGAGCCGAGGAGGACTAGGCCGCGGATGCCATTCTTTGCGAGGTAGACGCTGTGCTTCACTTGCGTGTCGATGTCGACCTTGGGCTGGAGGGCGCCTGCGGAATCAGAGGCGGAGTGGAAGAAGGTTGGGACTGGGACGAAGACGCCCGTGGGTGGTACTCTAACGTCTGCCATTGTGATGTGTATGTGTGTTTGTGAGTGAGGAAGAGGGAAGAATTAGGTAGCTAGAGGTTGTGAGAGACTGACTTCACTTGAGAGAGACTTGGGGGATGAGGTTGACGACTCTGGGTATCACAATGCTGCAATGTTCTTCTTTTGGTCACGAGGTTTCTGTTGACCCCTCGTTGGAATTTACGTTCACGATGGAAAACGTGTCAGACCCGGTCTCGGTGCCCCTCGGCAATCCCGCGAGGGACTTGTTCGATGGCGTTCTCGGGGTGTGATGACGCGGGGGTGGGGGCAAGTTGCGCCAAAGAAGACCACCGAGCGGGGAACATCCCGACACCATCCCGTCTGGACCGTCTCTAGCAACTTTAGTCTCAAGGGGTTTTCTTACGAACGGGTCCCGGCTGTCGGACGTCGTCTTGCTTGGCGGGAGCCATGCAGAGTTAAGTGGGGGGAGAGAAGACGGGAGGAAAAGGCCGGAAAAAGAGGTTTACATAAGGCCAATTCCGTGCCAACGGACCGTGTTAGACACCCCTCATTATGTGATGCGGAAATCTTGCAGGCGAGATGGGAGTGACGACAGCCTCAAAATGGAGATATAAGAGCTCTTGGGGAAATTGTTGTTTGTGAAAGGAGTGACATATGATAGACCAACATAACACACGCGGATAACTGCACTTTTTCTGACTTTCGTCCGTACAATTACATCCGATCACGGAAGCATCGTCGCAGTTACCTACTGGCTCTACAACAATGACGTTAGCTCAGTCTTTCAAGCTTCTTTCGGGACACGAGATCCCAGCAGTTGGCCTGGGCACCTGGGTAAGTTTTCGAAGACGGTGAGCTGATAGAAAATATCCTCCTGATCAATCATATGAATCTGTAGCAATCCAAGCCCAATGAGGTCAAGAACGCCGTTGAGCATGCACTCAAGTCGGGGTACCGCCACATTGACGCGGCAGCCGTTTATGACAACGAGAAGGAAGTCGGCGAAGGTCTCAAGGCTTCTGGCGTCCCAAGGAAAGACATTTTTGTAAGTT